GTAGGTGTGCAAATTGCATCCCCCAATCAGGGGAGATGGGAGGGGAAAAGCACTTGTTCCTGGAAATAAACAAAACAATACAAAAATGGGACCATACTGACTAGTTTTATTTATTTATTTTTTCTTGCAAAATAAGTTTCATATGACACACTGACTAGTTTTAACCCGAAATAAATGAAACCGTGATCCTTTCCAGTACATTACTGACTCCCCAACAAAGACAACTTTATTCCTGACTTTTACAACACTGATCTCTGACAATGTATCATGCTCTTTAGATATGATAATTGAGTGAGAGAATTGCTGTTTTTCCATCATGAACAAATTGGTAAGTCTGCTCACCTTCTTTGTATTTTTTATTTGGTGAGCCAGTCCTTCTAAAGTCTGACTCTCTTAAAAGACTTCTTTGCAAGTCAACTCTTTTGCTTTTCTAGACTAACTAAATAAAAATTAAAGTAAGAGATAAGATGCTATACCTTGTACCACCCACCTTGAAGAAAGAGTTGCAAAGCTTGGTGGTTCTCTTTGGATTTGGAGGAATGTGTCATCTTCTGACTCTTTCACCAGGTAACCTATCAATTTTGAGAGGGGCCTGGCCAAAAAGGGAGCCTATGCAGTGCAAGCAACCTACACCTGATTTGGGTCTGATCATCCAACAGGACCAATGATATTGGAAGTATTTTGTGACAAAGGTCTTATGTATGCCCTCTAGCAATCCCAACAGCAGAGTCACGGCGCAGCTACCCAGTGTTCTGACATTAGGCTATGATCTCACCCGCAAACAAGTGGCCAACACTTGAAAAGCAGTTTCTGCCTTGCACCTGGCCTCTGGTAGAAGCTGAATGCCTGACCACCAGACACTAACTGGAACTGTCCATCATGAACTGAGAATCATCCAACCCACTGAACCATAAATGTGGGAATGCAAGTCAGCATTCCATTATAAAATGAATATATGTGACCTTTCTTCTTTTCCATTATAAATACATAAAGCTATACATTTCACTCTAATCACTGCCTTAGCCGCACCTGCAAATTGTTGCATTTTTCGTTATCATTCTAATTTCCCTTGTGCTTTCTGCTTCAATTCACAGATTACTTAAAGGTATGTTGCTTAATTTCCAAATAGTTGGGAGTTTTCTAGATATCTTATGATTATTGATATCTCATTTAATTCCATTGTGGTCCATATGATATCAGTTCCAAATGATTTTATGGAATCATGTTTAGATCACCATGCTGATGGAGTCAATAGCAAGCCCAAGAGGAACACTGTAAAAGCCCCTTGGATTTTTAAAGAAAGTCATGCTCTCTTTGGCAAATAACTGATCTTTCTTTGAGAAATAGCTTCATCTTATTCCTGGGCCCAGAAAACACTGAATGCTTGTCCATGGGACAACCAGGTTGCCTTGCAAACTGAACTGTCCTCATACCTGCAAACTATTTGACCCATTGTAAAGTCTGTAGTGTTCATTAGCAAGACGAAGCTGTTTCTCAAAGAAAGATCAGTTATTTGCCAAAAAGGGCACGACTTTCTTCACAAATCCTAGGGGCTTCTTCTGCATGTTCTTCCTGCTGTAAACTCCATCCGTGTGGTATTCTAAACATGATTGGATCTGGTGGGTCCTGGAGACAGGCGCCATATCAACTTACATCACAGCCTAGACCCACTAGAGAATTTTGCCTTACTCTGGTATCCTCTGCAAGCCTTTCAGGTTACTGAGTGAATGGGTGGATGGAGTACATCCAAATGTGATATATGTTGCCTCAAAATTCCAAGAAAGCCACCAAGACCCATATTTCAACTAATCTAAGATGCCCTCAACTGTAAGGTGCACCTTCATTTGTATTGCACTATGAAAGCATTTTTTTAAACGCTATCAATTAAACCACAATATACTATTGATTGTAAGATGCGTTGCTATTTCAGAGATGTTAAAATGTGGGCTGGGGGGGCAGCAACCTTGTGAATATACAGAATGCCACGGAATGGTTAATTTTATGCTATGTGGATTTCACCTCAATAAAGTATTTTTTTAAGGGTGAAAAAATATGCATCTTAGAATTAATGATATATAGTATTATTCTGTTTCATATGGTAGGGGGTATAAGGTGAAGCAGCTTGTACTTAGGTGGGAACATTGTAACATGCCCTACAACACTGGACCTCCAGAAACATCACTGAGATGTATTTTCATGAGATTTACAGTAGTCCTTCAGTATATGTGGAGGATTGGTCCCAGAGCCCTCGTGTATACCCCAATCTGCTGTGTACTCAAGTCCCACAGTAGGCCCTGCAGAACCCATGCATAGAAAAGTCAGCCCTCTGTATATGTGGGTTTTACATCCCACGTGTAAGTGGACACATGCAGTTCAAACCTGTGTGTTCAAGGGTCAACTGTACTTTATTTCATTGAATCTAAGATGCTTTGATCCTAGTGCATTCTTGATTTACCAGAAGGTGTCCACGGAAGGCTTTCACAGAACTATTTCCTCTATTTCCTCCTGCTGACAGTGATTTTAAGTCATCTATTAGCCTCAGCTGAAGAGGAGCCGTTTCTGCTGGCAAGGGAGGCTCAACAGGGTAGAGTTTTGAATGATCTGAGTTACCTAAATGCTTTCTTTTCCGGTCAGTACCCCAGCATTCGCGTAAGAGACCTGGCAATGTGTGAATTTAACTGATACTGTGCAACGGTAATTCTCAGTATCAAACTTTGATTTTCAGCTATAATTAGCCCCATGACTGCAAGAGATAAATTATTTTTATCACAGACATAGAAAGTCAATGATTTGAGACTTACCTTGAGCCACATTTTAGCATATTAGTCTGTCATTCTTTCTTTTTTTTTCTCTGTCCAGAACAGTTAAAAGAAACCCCTCTTCACTGCATAGTTCACAAATTCCTTCTGCCCTCCATACCATTCTGTGGCAGAGGCTGTTTGGTTCCCCAAGCTTTGCCTTCAATGCATCTTTCATTCAAGTTAAAATCAATTGCAGGTGATAATCTATTAGCTGCAAGCCCAGGGCTACCGTTAGCATTAGCTAGATTTTCACTGCCGAAACAAAAATACTAAATTCATGACTGTTCTGATACCGGCTTACGTAACAGCTACAATTCATAGTTCTTAGTTATGTTTTCTAGGAAGCACAAGTAGCCAGAATTGTTCCAAGAAGAGTTAGAGAACCCAATGGAACAACAATCATAGAAAAACAAAAAGATTGTTCGTGAGCTACAATTTTGAAAGGTAATGGGCTGAAAATTATCAATAGGTGAGTTCTATTTGACCTTCCAGTAACAGATTATTCCTTAGTTAACTTTAGAGTATATAAGTTGAAATTTTTCTCAACTTATGAAAATAGCACAATATAAATACCAGAGACTAACAGAGAAAAATCTTTGAAAAATACATAATTCTCATGTTATATACACTAAGAAAGTAAGAAAAGATGGAAAGC